TCTTCAGAGGCACATAGAAGTTGGTATTCAAGTATAAGACAACATATTATGGCTCCATAATAAAATTGTCTTATACATGTCATTTCCCTTGAAACCTGCTTCTGCAAGTTTCTGGAGGTTTAGACTGACGAGGAATGTCTTAATGCCTCGCAAAATGTTACGTGTTTAGGGAAATTAGAATTTACACATTTTCACATCCATAATACTGTCAGGTTTACGCAACGAGCGTGTTTTCCAGAAAGGCAAATGACATAATACAAAGACAAGGCGTACTAATACTTTGTTATAAACTGAGCTAGATCTATACTAAAGGTGTTGAGCACTATGTGGAATCAAGCAACACTGTCTTTTCAGTGCAAACTGTGGGAATGGTGGCTGCTGCCTTCACTTCATATCACTTCATTTTTCACTTAGGGAACGCCAACGTTAGTACATAACGGGTTACACGGTACTGAAATAAACAATTCATCAGGATGGCAAGTGATTGAGTTCACTAATTACCTTAGAAACAAATATCCTGACAGTAATTATCTAGGTGTCTGATAATATGCGTAAGCATTTATCCCATTTTTAAAAAAATGGGACTCTTTATAGTGAATGAGTAAGTCGGTTAATATTTAACGTCACATCGGCAATGTTTCAGCCATATTGTGACTTAATGGGATATTTGATGTTTATGAAGAATATGTATATTTTATAAAACCTGTTGTCAAAGGACTGTAAAACAACTAGACTATCACAGTTCGAATTAAAACTAGCATGTGAAGTTAAAACTAATAGCACTATTTGGACAATACATGATATTAAAGCAGGATATATATCGCCAACAACTGAAGGTAGATCACCATACTATGGACCATGGGGACTTTTGCTACTTGCATGGACCCTAGCTGGATTTATACCATCCCTTCAGTCATTGGCGATTGTACTGATATTGAGCCATTATAAAACAATAAATACTCTACGATGAAAAAGGTTGGTAGAGCTAAATTGACTTTGGGATTTTTTCGTACCCCCTCAGAAGGGAGACTCTTTGTAATGGTTAACGTGTATGTTGTTGTGAATGTACTGCTGGAATAAAGTAACTGTGCATTATTTGATGCCATTTTTAATGCAAAAAGATAATAATATGATTGGTGGTGTTTTCCTTAATCACTGTAAATATTGACAGAATAATATAATATCTGTTTGATTTGACACTGGGCATCGTGACACTCCCTTAAAGAGATGTGGTGTCAAACGTCTGTTCCACAAATTCAGTATCGTGTGTGTCCACCATTGGCGTTAGTGCAGGCTTGACAATGACGACGCATAGACGAAACAAAGCGATTGAAACCGGCTTGGGGAATGTTGTTCTATGTCTGATCCAACGCTTGTAACAATTCAGCTAACGTAAATGGCTGATTCTGGGCTTGACGTAAACGTTGCTCTATTTCATCCAACGCCTGCTCGATTAGGGTCAAGTTCGGAGTAACAGCTGGCCACATGAGTACCGGAATGTTCTACTGTCTCAGGAAATCTGTTACAACACGAGCGACAAGTGGACGGGCATTATCTTGCTGAAGCGTGAAGTCACGTCTCTGTCCTTGAATGAACGGCACATGGTCCCATTGATCTCATCCCTGTATCGCAGACCTGTCAGATTGCCATTGATAATGACAAGATGTGTCCAACCAGGGGTTGATGAGATGTGATGCCTGCCCATACCATAACCGTACCGGATAATCAACCGTTCTTCATTTTTCAATATCAATGTCAGGTGTCAAAAAGCATGCAAAAAACGAGTAAGTTCATTGTGCACAAAGTGCACGTGCCACGCGCGATACGTGACATCACATTTCATGCAAAGTGCTTTGCTACATGTTTACTTAGGGTTATTTTGTTCAAACTGTTCAAAGAACTTTTACTTTATGCACTTTTTGGTTATGCACAGTTACTTTTTCTGTTGGTTTTCAAATTCTGGTAGTCGTTACTAACTTGTCATAATAAAAATCGAGTTGTATTTGAGCGAAGGTTTAAGATCAACTAAAGGATCAACGTTTGATACAAGCCATGCTGTTGTGCAAGAGAATGCGATTGTCGTAAGCAGGTTTTAGTCAAACGTGAAGTTATAATTAATTCAACCATTTTGTTCCGGGGAAAGGAGTTGTGTTCCCTAAGGTTCATCATTCTTTATGTGACTGAATAGTACATGTCTTAACCTTGTAGTGTCAACTGGACACGTAAGCTTATGCCAAGACGAGATAACAGCTTTATATACTACAGTGTTTGGAGTTTGCTGTCACATACCATAAATGTCGGAACCATATAACAATAGTACAGCCATAGCATCAAATACAGAGGTGGGAATTCTTTTTACATCTTCTACAAAAGGCATGGTTTTAGTTCACTTTTGATTGGATTGATTTCCATTTCTACATATTTTGTTCCCATGTAGACATGTCCTGGGGTAAGTACAGCTATCGACATTTTTAAGTTTTCAGCCACAGAGGAAACGTAACTGAACCACAACGTGAAGGCCCACTACCAATTGTAAGAATGTCTATAAGCTACCATGAAAATAATGTCACGCTGACTGGTATTTCTGCAGCAACGTGGGTACAGAAGGATTTTCTGTCACGCCAGCTTACTGTCTGTACCTTTCCCATACATTTTTAATAGTGCGATTTCAAGTCATCAGTTCCGTTAACAAATGGGCCTTGTTGGTGGTAGAATCTTATGCGAAAAGTATGGCAGATCTCTTCTCTTGGATCTCTTTCCTGCTGGTCATGTATTTCGATGGTGAGTTTTCATTGGTTTTGTTAATACATACGTTTGTGAGTAACACGTTTGTGGTTGTATGTTTTTCAAATATGTGTTTCTATAGGTATTGACGGCAACCATACAGATAAGAGGGGAATAGGGCATTAGAGAAGATGTTAGGCTCTACAGATGGTTCTCATACTTGAGCACAACCATTTTCTTGCCAACACATCTACTGTCTCATTACGTACCATACGTGTTCATAAAACTTATTTCTATATATTATCTCGAGGATGCCACCGTGTCGGTAGTCCGTCTCACAGTCCCTGAACCACATTATTCTCTCTTCTGTCTACCCCTTTCTGCAATGCTGAAGCCCTAAATGAAGCAAGTCTAGATTCCCCCAGGTTCTGAATCTCCCATTACCCCGGGGCTCCGTTTCAATTTAGATGTAATTATTTGTTGCTGCCAAAATTATACACATTCAAAGAATAAACGTTAGTCTACCGTGTCGGTGAAACACTCTCTTCACGATCAACACAACGTCTTCCTCTCCCGTAATATTCCTTCTTCCGTGATCGTTCGGCTAACTCCGGGCTTCGTCGTCGTGTGAGCTGAAAAAACTTGTACATGCAGATATTTTTCATGTTTATCATCCTCAAAAATTGTATGTGTTAATACAACAAAAATATTAAGCGGTGTTTGATCGAAAGATGTGGCAGCCTGAAGGAGGCGTCGGCAAATTTAAACTTAAATTTAAATTTGAATTTGACATTTGGTTGGAAATGGGGGTGGGGGTGGGGGTGGGGGAGAGATTTGGGTGGTACCGGTTTTGTTTGTTTTATGTTTTGTTTTTCTATGTTACCACTAGTTGGTTATGTAGTGTGTGTGGCAGTGTGTGCATGTTCCAATTTAAATGTGAAATTTGTGTGTGTAGGTGTGGTGTGTGTGTGGTGTTTCTGTTTTGTTGCAGCTTCTGTGATGCTTTTTGTATTTTATGTAGTTGATAATTTACTTTTATGTGTGTTTGACTTTGGTTAGCACCCTGTGAATATTTTCAGTCATGGTAGCATTTTAGTTTTTCTAGGCTTTTTAAATAGATATTTAGTTAAGAATTTGAAGTTTGGTATTTTGCTTCGTTTACGTCAGGTTTCTGAGTGACCATTCAAATCTCAGGTAATAGGTGATGTGTCAGTATCTTCTCAGTGACTTTCTCTGGTGGAATTGGACAACAGCTTTGGGCTACTAGTGGTTTTCATTTTTTTTGTATTTGCTAGCAATCAATGGATAACCAACCTTTTCGTGATTGTCTAACTCTCAAAAAAATTTCTGGTGTCAAATTGTTCTTTTAGTCAAGTACCTTACTTCTGTTTCATTCTTTCTTAACGCCACACTCAGCAAGTTTCCAGCTACTTGGTGGTGGTTTGTACGTAACCGAGTCTGGACCATACAGTCTAGTGATCAACATTATGAGCATCATCAACCTACGCGAGGAAACGTGTTCATCTAGATATTTCTCATTTTTGCCTCCTCAAAAATGGTTTAAGTTTTAACATAAATATTAAGCCTTGATCTACGCAATTGGGATGCGATGACATGTGTCAACCAAGTCAGCGAGCCTGACCACCCGATCCCGATAGTCGCCTCAAGACACCCTCGGTCTAGCATGTGTACAGGACCGAGTGTTGATATCGCTTTCACGCCTTCAAATACGGCCACGAGTAATCACTGAAGAGATGCACTTGACTCCCTGATCTCTTTCATGTTATTTCCTTTTATATTTAGTTGGTGAGTTCTTATGCTAAAGGTTTCATAGACACGGACAGTGTTTAGCAATACGAATGAAAGAAGACTCTGTTTAGATATCAAATGCTGTCACATCGGTGTGTGCATATCTGGTAACAGAACCGAGTTAAGGCTTCACAGATGGTCCTCACACCAGAGAAAACAAGAGAAATGTGTGGAAAATATATGGTGTATTTTGAATCACAGATGTAACTCGGGACTTTTGTGAACATTCAATATCACAAGAGAAGTAGTGTAAGGGAAGAGTTATATATATACTTTATCAATTTTGAATGTGAAAATATTGCTATGTGCCCCAGACAAGGCGGGTGTATTTTGTGCGAGTCATGGATACGTCACATTTGATTCTTTTTGATAATAATCATTGTAAACATATTTGCCATATAGAACTTACAATCTTAATTTTCAGTGTGCAAAATGCAGAGTTTGAACTTGGCTCCGAAGAAACCAGCATGGATAAGCAGCGTCTATGCGTCGCTGCTAATGGTGTGGCCGGTAGTCATCTCACTGATACAAGGCGTGGTGACTGCGTTCACACTCAACTTGATGACATGTCGCCCTGGTTTGTTGTGGACCTGCTGGGACAATACAACGTCCACAGCGTCACCATCTACAACAGAGGAGACTGTTGTGGTAGGTTACAGTTTGTATTAGTTCCACACTGTTTTCATTGTCTCTTGTTTTATCTCATTCAGAATTCATCTTTGATTTAATGAACATTATCTAATTACTACCAGTCGACCATACAGATGGGTCCTACAGATCCTTGAATTAATATTGTGCCGTACGTAGGTGAAATGTGGTCTGTCTGTCCTTGCTCAGCACCTTCGACAATACGTAATGCCGTTGAATCAGCCACATATGAATCGTTTCAGTAGTTCTGCATATAGAAAGACTGCACTGCTCCTCTTTGAGTAGACACTTTGATGAAATTGTACAAAAATATCGCTATATGTATTTATGACATTACAGTTAACATGTCATATGTCTTTTATTCTTAACACACGGTTTCTGTTAGTCACGCATGAATGATTTCCTTTTAGGGGACAGACTCCATGACTTTGTAATCGAGGTGTATGTACGAAATCCATCCCGATGTCCATCAGCAGCTTTCTCCCTCTGTAAGAACTACACTGGCACGTTTGGATCCATTGAGAATGTTGTGTGTGATGCTCCGGTCTTCGGGAGGTTCGTCAGGCTATGGAAACCCACAGTCAGAAATGAACATGATATCCTCAGCTTCTGTGAACTTGAAGTGTATGGAGTGGAGACAGGTAGAAAGTTCGGTATCAATAAGTCACATGATAAGAATACCTCTGAGTTCGGAAACTTGATGTCAATTTTCTAAATTGTATAATCATCTTCAAAAGACAAAGACATACAACCCGCAACAAAAAATACGACAAAAGACAATTTAGAGAATGTTGACTCAACAAAGACTGACTGCATCGTCTTGCAAGGCGCCTACATTAATATATGATCAATACTGTGCATTTTCCACAGTGCACAATTTGTCATATTGTAATTACACATTCCAAAACTCCGTCTTAGGCGTATGAGTCACAAAAGAACAATGCGTACACTGTTGACAGTCAACGATATTGTACTTCCATTACATTTCTACATTTCAGATTGTCGGGGGTTAAGTTTCCATATTGCATCAGCAACACGACTCGTCTCCTCTGCCATCGTATCATCAACTGCCTCGTCCCGAGTGTCCTGTGTGCAGCAGTGCATGTTGCCTGGAGCCTGTGTTGGTGTCAACTACAACAGTGGAACACGTGAGTGTGAGCTCCTCCTCCGACCTGAGCCCAATGACACAGTCTCCACCGATCCGGGCTGGGTCTACTATGGAGATGATCTGTGTTGAACTGATATGGCCGCCATGATCTAGTCTGGGTCTACTATGGAGATGATCTGTGTTGAACTGACTCTGTCGCCCTGATCTAGTCTGGGTCTACTATGGAGATGATCTGTGTTGAACTGATATGGCCGCCATGATCTAGTCTGGGTCTACTATGGAGATGATCTGTGTTGAACTGATATGGCCGCCATGATCTAGTCTGGGTCTACTATGGAGATGATCTGTGTTGAACTGATATGGCCGCCCTGATCTAGTCTGGGTCTACTATGGAGATGATCTGTGTTGAACTGATATGGCCGCCCTGATCTGGTCTGGGTCCTATGGAGATGATCTGTGTTGAACTGATCTCGCCATGGTCTCTGGGTCTATGGAGATGATCTGTGTTGAACTGACTCTGTCGCCCTGGTCTAGTCTGGGTCTACTATGGAGATGATCTGTGTTGAACTGACTCTGTCGCCCTGGTCTAGTCTGGGTCTACTATGGAGATGATCTGTGTTGAACTGATATGGAGATGATCTAGTCTGGGTCTACTATGGAGATGATCTGTGTTGAACTGATATGGCCGCCCTGATCTAGACTGGGTCTACTATGGAGATGATCTGTGTTGAACTGATATGGTCGCCATGATCTAGTCTGGGTCTACTATGGAGATGATCTGTGTTGAACTGATATGGCCGCCCTGATCTGGACTGGGTCTACTGTGGAGATGATCTGTGTTGAACTGACTCTGTCGCCATGATCTAGTCTGGGTCTACTATGGAGATGATCTGTGTTGAACTGATATGGCAGCCATGATCTAGTCTGTCGCCCTGATCTAGATCTGGACTGGGTCTACTATGGAGATGATCTGTGTTGAACTGACTCTGTCGCCCTGGTCTAGACTGGGTCTACTATGGAGATGATCTGTGTTGAACTGACTCTGTCGCCCTGGTCTAGTCTGGGTCTACTATGGAGATGATCTGTGTTGAACTGACTCTGTCGCCCTGGTCTAGTCTGGGTCTACTATGGAGATGATCTGTGTTGAACTGACTATGGCGCCCTGATCTAGACTGGGTCTACTATGGAGATGATCTGTGTTGAACTGATATGTCGCCCTGATCTAGACTGGGTCTACTATGGAGATGATCTGTGTTGAACTGATATGGCCGCCCTGATCTAGTCTGGGTCTACTATGGAGATGATCTGTGTTGAACTGATATGGCCGCCCTGATCTAGTCTGGGTCTACTATGGAGATGATCTGTGTTGAACTGACTCTGTCGCCCTGGATCTAGTCTGGGTCTACTATGGAGATGATCTGTGTTGAACTGATATGGCCGCCCTGATCTAGACTGGGTCTACTATGGAGATGATCTGTGTTGAACTGATATGGCCGCCCTGATCTGGACTGGATCTACTATGGAGATGATCTGTGTTGAACTGATATGGCCGCCCTGATCTAGACTGGATCTACTATGGAGATGATCTGTGTTGAACTGATATGGCCGCCATGATCTAGTCTGGGTCTACTATGGAGATGATCTGTGTTGAACTGATACTGTCGCCCTGATCTAGACTGGATCTACTATGGAGATGATCTGTGTTGAACTATTGCCGTACATCATGGTGAGGTCTGGGTCTACTAAAATGAGAGATGATCTGTGTTGAACTGATGACGACCCTCCTTCTAGTCTGGGTCTTCTGTGCGGATGATTTGTCTTAAACATGTAACCATCTGCTGACGTGTCTATTGTTATCGTTATTAAATGATTACAGATAGTTAGATGGAGTCAGATTATTTCAACTCATTGTTTAAGAACTTGTGTGCCCACTTGAGGTCAGAGTTTGGCAGGTCACGTTCTATGACTATGGATTTGTTGATAGGTTTCTATTGTCGCTGGACTTAACGTTGACCGTGGTTTAAGCATGGCACATACTGCTACCGAGTCGACTAGTTGCGGAAGTGCCCATGATTATCACGTTCGGCGCTTACAGACTAAGCGTCATGTAAATTTGGGAAATACATATAACGGGAATTATCTTGAAATATCTCGGTTTATCTGACTCGACAAAAGTCACAGAATTTGCAATCTTGCTGTTTGTTTTGGGACTAGTTCTCATGATTTGAGGTGCAAATGTTTTTCGACACATCATTTTCAGATATACTGAAATCTAGCACTGTATAATTTGTTAAGTTGAACTACAGTTATGGGACTTTCAGATGAAAAATGTGAGACAGGCAGTGTTCATTTGAAAACCGAAATCAGCCAAATATTCTGAAATAACTAACATGCAAAGTAAGCTACTGACATACTACTGAAGATCTAACGTTTTCAGTATCTATTCCCAAAACAAGTGACATAAACCCCAGAAAGAACAAGGCACTCTGTTTAAAGAACCCTAAAAAACTTGTCATGGAGTAAGAAAGTATTTTTCGTACTCAAAAGTGAAATAATCCAAAGTTAATGGTCAACATACACTGAGATAGAACCGTGTGACAGTCTGATTTAAGGTTTAAATGTTATTAAAATGTGCTTTTGGAAATTGGAATTTACATATTTCTTGCCAAACGATCGACACCCATATTACTGTCAGGTTTAGGCAACGAACGTGTGTTCCAGAAAAACAAATGACATAATACACAGACAAGACGTACTAGTACTTTGTTATGAACTGAGCTAGATCTATACAAAAGGTGTTGCTATGTGTAGTCAAGTAACACAATCTTTTCAGTGCAAACTGTGTTTGGGTTACACGGGTTACACGGTACTGAAATAAACAATTCATCAGGATGGCAAGTGATTGAGTTCACTAATTACCTTAGACAAATAACCCTGACAGTATCTTATCTAGGTGCCTGATATTATAAGCAAGCATTTATCCCATTTTAAACAAAATGTGACTATCAGGTTAACATGAGGTTTAGTATGGGTTGTAGCCCTGCCTCATATTTAATTTTTTTTTGTAATTCGTCTATTTGTCCCCAACTGATGGAGAGTCACATTACAATCAGAGTATTGTTTCCATGGCTCCATTATTCCACCTGCAGGTTTCAAAACTTATTGTTCAGAATTCTAAATTTAGATCATGGTAACGATATGTTACTGGTAAGGTTTTAATAGGTTTTCAAATACTGGTAGTCGTTTAAAAATAGTCATAATATAATCGCTTTGAATTTGAGCGAGGGATAGGATCTTTAGTGTTCAACGTTTGGTGCAAGTCATGGTGTCGTGAAAGAGAAGGGGTTGTTGTAAACAGCTTATAGTCAAACGTGAAAGTATAACTATTCAACCACGTTGTTCCGGGAAAGCACATGCGCTCTAAGCATGTCATTCTTTATGTAGCTGAATCGCATATGTCGTAACCCTGCAGTGTCAACTTGACACGTAAGCTTATGCCAAAACGAGATAACATGTTTATATACTTCAGTTTTAGGGGTTTGCTGCCACGTACAATAAATGACGGAACCATATAACAATAGTAGAACCATAGCATCATATGATGTGTGTACACAATCAAAAGGAATTAATACATGTGCATTTTTAGTTCATGATTAGATTGCAGTCCATGTCTACAGATTCTGCTCCCATGTTGCTACATCCTCAGGGTAGTACAGCTGTCCATGTCTACAGATTCTGGTCCCATGTTGGCACGTCCTCAGGGTAGGTCAGCTGTCCATGTCTACAGATTCTGGTCCCATGTTGGCACGTCCTCAGGGTTAGGTCAGCTGTCCATGTCTACAGATTCTGTGTCCCATGTTGGCACGTTCCTCAGGGGTAGTTCAGATGTCCATGTCTACAGATTCTGGTCCCATGTTGGCACGTCCTCAGGGTAGTTCAGATGTCCATGGCTACAGATTCTGGTCCCATGTTGGCACGTCCTCAGGGTAGTTCAGCTGTCCATGGCTACAGATTCTGGTCCCATGTTGGCACGTCCTCAGGGTAGTTCAGCTGTCCATGGCTACAGATTCTGGTCCCATGTTGGCACGTCCCTCATGTTGGCACGGTTAGTTCAGATGTCCATGGCTACAGATTCTGGTCCCATGTTGGCACGTCCTCAGGTTAGTTCAGATGTCCATGTCTACAGATTCTGGTCCCATGTTGGCGTCCTCAGGGTAGTTCCATGTTGTCTACAGATTCTGGTCCCATGTTGGCACGTCCTCAGGTTAGTTCAGCTGTCCATGGCTACAGATTCTGGTCCCATGTTGGCACGTCCTCAGGGTAGTTCAGCTGTCCATGTCTACAGATTCTGGTCCCATGTTGGCACGTCCTCAGGTTAGTTCAGCTGTCCATGTCTACAGATTCTGGTCCCATGTTGGCACGTCCTCAGGTTAGTTCAGCTGTCCATGTCTACAGATTCTGGTCCCATGTTGGCACGTCCTCAGGGTAGTTCAGATGTCCATGTCTACAGATTCTGGTCCCATGTTGGCGTCCTCAGGGTAGTTCAGATGTCCATGTCTACAGATTCTGGTCCCATGTTGGCACGTCCTCAGGGTAGTTCAGCTGTCCATGGCTACAGATTCTGGTCCCATGGCTGAATTGGCACGTCCTCAGGGTAGTTCAGCTGTCCATGTCTACAGATTCTGGTCCCATGTTGGCACGTCCTCAGGGTAGTTCAGATGTCCATGTCTACAGATTCTGGTCCCATGTTGGCACGTCCTCAGGGTAGTTCAGCTGTCCATGGCTACAGATTCTGGTCCCATGTTGGCACGTCCTCAGGGTAGTTCAGCTGTCCATGGCTACAGATTCTGGTCCCATGTTGGCACGTCCTCAGGGTAGTTCAGCTGTCCATGGCTACAGATTCTGGTCCCATGTTGGCACGTCCTCAGGGTAGGTTCAGATGTCCATGGCTACAGATTCTGGTCCCATGTTGGCACGTCCTCAGGGTAGTTCAGCTGTCCATGTCTACAGATTCTGGTCCCATGTTGGCACGTCCTCAGGGTAGTTCAGCTGTCCATGTCTACAGATTCTGGTCCCATGTTGGCACGTCCTCAGGTTAGTTCAGCTGTCCATGGCTACAGATTCTGGTCCCATGTTGGCACGTCCTCAGGGTAGTTCAGATGTCCATGTCTACAGATTCTGGTCCCATGTTGGCACGTCCTCAGGGTAGTTCAGCTGTCCATGTCTACAGATT